CATGGAGAATAAGTGAGTGTGGGGGTGTGAGTGTAATGAATTAAAGGATATAGATGGAATTTCCAAGGAAGAGCAAGGGCAAATTGGGAAAGGATGGTTATAATATGAGCTAAAAAGGGTTAAGTGAAATAAACCCTTCATTTCATCCATTTTCCACCGCTATTCTCATTCTCTACTTCCTTTCAATTTTCCTTTCAATTTTCCCAAGATTTCTAAGAAGTTTAAGAGAGCTTTTGGGTAATTTTAGTAGAGATTTCATCTAAAGCATCCTAAGGTAAGAATTTTCTTGCTTTAGATGTGAGTTTGCTTATGGTTATATTGAAGTCTTATATTGTTGTTATTGTTCTTGTTGTTGTTTTAAGTTGTAGAGAGAAGACAAGACAACAAGGGGAAGGAAAAGTGCTAGAGAAGTCACTTTTTCACAAGGTAAGTAAATCCAACCAAGTTGAGTTTTGAATAAGCTTTTGAGTAGAGATTTAGAGATTGAGTAGAGATTTATGTATGTATAAGTATGTTATGTTATTGAGAATTGAGTTGAGATGAGTAGCTATTTGGTGGTTGTTGGATACACTTCATGTATGAGAAGTGTTTTAATGTGTATTGAGAAATGGAAATTGAGATGAAGTTTGAGAAATGTTGTGTAAACCTTTTTGGAAGTGTTTTTCTTGACAGGGATTATGATTATATGAGGGATTTTTCTCCCATTTTGGATGGCTAGAGAATGAAGTAGAGTAGTAATTATAGTAGAGTGTTTATAAGCACATGAGTTGCTTGTGAAATGCCTAAGTGAAAACATGTTACCAAACTGCCTTGTCATAGCCGTGACTTTCTGAGTGATTTTTGGGCATCTTACAGATTGAACTGGGTTTAGACCGAAACATAATAGTTATAGCCCTATCTCTAAGCTTTAAAACGAGATAAAAATCGTAGCAATCCGATGTGTATAACTTAAGTTATGCCTTCTTGAGTGTGACCTGCGTAGAATGATTGTCTTTGATGCAACATTGCATTTGTGCTTTTCATGAGGGTATTAATGAGCATGAATCATCCATATGCATTAATTATGCATTAGAGAAAGAGTAGAGAACTTTGAGTATGAGCTTTATTAAGAGAAAAGAGAGAAAAAAAGAGTAAAGTAGGTTATGCGATGGGGAACCCGTGAGTAATGGGTAGAGTATTCCCGCATGTACGCCGCATTGAGAGAGCGGCATGAGTATGAGAGAGAGAAGTCGTGTAGCCCGTGAGAGTGCATGCGGATGAGGGCTATACCCGAGAGTACCCGAGAGAGAGATTGTATACTCACATGGCCAAGGGTTCCAAATCCATGCATAACCGAGGCACGGCCGGGACTTACAAAAGAGAGTTAGTAGAAAGAGTTAAGAGAAAGAGAAAATAGAGAGAAGTATAAAAGAGAGAGTAAATGAGAATTGTAAGGAAAGAATTAGATAGAGTTACGGGGATAGATGAGTAGAAGATTTACTTACTGAGCATTAGTTATGCTCACCCCGTTGTTTCCTATGTTTTTGTAGGATCTAGGTGAGGATACAATCGGATGGGCGTCGGCAAGCGAAGGGAAATGGCTACACTGTCCACCTTGTTTTTGATGCTTTTGTACATGATACAACTTTTTGTATAAACAATGTATATGTTTAATAAAAGAAAATTTTGGGCCCAACTTTTTATGCTATATTACTTATATTTTACTGTGCATATTTTAAAAGAATATGAGTAGAATGGAGTTGTTACAGTCGACAAGTGCCTTGATGACTGGGCACCTTGGGAGACATGTGGCGACAACATAACTTGCACGAATTTACCACCCAACAACGAGAACTGAAAATAGAAAAAGAAGATAAGAAAGCAACAGGAGAAGCTTTCTCTATGACAGCAACGAAAGGAGAAAATTGAAGCGCCGACTGGGGATAGGAGTAATCTCGCCATGTCAGGGACCCAGCCCGACCCGACCCGGATAAGGCGGAGTTTCCCCAAATTGTTCAGGGTTCGGGTCGGGCATGGGCTGAAAATTAGCCCATGAATTCAGCGACTAGCCAAGGACAGGATTGGTCTCGCCCCAGCCCTACCTGACCCTGAATTGTCCTCGCCTCGACTTCCCCGACCCAGCCCGTCTATTATTATTATTATGTATAAATGTTTGTAGCCAGGTTTAATTTTAACCATTTAATCCTATATTAATTTGAATAGTTGAAAATCGGTCAATGAAGTCATAAATTATATAAAAACAAATTATAATTATGTAAGTATTTTATAAAACCATATATAAATGGGTAATAAATAATAATAGATTAAATATAATAACTCATTATAAATATTTGTAATACATAATAAATATGTTATATATGTATAATGTATACGTATTATGTTCAATATGTATATTATAAATTTAATTTCTTTTTGGATGATATATATTATAATTTGGAGAAAATGATAAGGTAGGCTCAATGATGCAAAACCCCCAAACAGGGATTTCAAAGATTCCCCATTTGGGGATTGTAACGCCTAACATGGAGGTACATGATTTAAATTATGTTTTATAGCCCTTAGTTAATTTTTATTGAAGTTATTTTAAGAGAATATGAAGAAAATGCCTTAAACTTGTATTAAGGGTAAAATTATCTTTTCACTCAAAATTAGTTGAAAAAGTGGGGAGTGAAAAGAGGTAGAATTTCATAAAGAATGCAATAAAAATGAAGGCATTATGGTAATTGACTATGGGACCAGGATAGAATTTCCAAAAAAAATGTAAGGGAAAAATGGGAAAGTGAGTTTATAAAATAAGATGATAAGGGTTTGTAACCCTTATTTCCTTCATTCCACCGCCACACTACTCCCCCATTTTCTCTCAAATTTTCATTCAATCCTCCAAGGATTTTGAGGGCTTTTGAGTGATTTTTAATAGGGTTTTGATTCAAGACTTCAAAAGGTAAGAATTCATGCTCTTTATCTATGATTTATTTGTGTAAAAGTTGAGTTCTTATGAAGTTTATGCTTAGGGTTAGAAGAAGTTTTGAATCCAACAAGAGTAGAGAGCTTAGTAGAGAAGACTCAAGCATAAGGTAAGTAAATTCCACTCAAAATCCAACTCAAGTTAAAGTTTAAGATTTCAAGTGAGTAGAGATTTCTTTTAAGTATGCATATGTTATGGTTATTGAGAAATTGAGATAAGATTGATGATAAATTATGCTTGTTGTTAGATATATTTGAATATGAGAAGTGTATGTGATGGTTTGATGATGGGTTGAATTGGAAGAATTGGAGGAAATTTTGGGAGTGTGTTTGCCATGTAGGTATGGTGATGCTACAAGAGAGATTTTCTCTCATTTTTGGATGGTTGAGAAACAAATTGAATGATAATTAAATTAGGGTTTGTTTATGCACAAGTAATGTTTGATGAAATGCCTAATTGAGAACATATTACCATGGTTGCCCTGTCATAGCCATGACATTCTGAGTAATTTTTGGGCATCTTACAGATTGAACCAAGTTGAGTTTGAAACATAAAAGTTGTAGCCCTGTCTCTAAGCTTTAAAACGAGACTAAAATCGTAGCAATCCGATGTGTATAACCCAAGTTATCCCTTCTTGAGTGTGACCTGTGCAGAATGACTATCTTGATGCAACATTGCATTTGTGCATTTCATAAGTGCCTTAAGTAAGAAATTTTAAGCATGAACTATCCTTATACATTAATTGTGCATTGAGAAGCAGCTTGAGAAAAAGTAGAAAACTTTGTGAATGAACTACTCTAAGAGTAGAGAGAATGAGAAAAACACAAAGAGTGGGTTGGTGCTTTGTGAACTCCACCGGGCAGTCACAAAGAGTAGGTTGGTGCTTTGTGAACTCCACCCGACCGTGCCTCCGGTAAGATGAGACCGTGACATTCAATTGAGAAAGAATAAAGAGAGAATGAGTAGAGTTACGAAGAGCGGGTTGGTGCTTTGTGAACTCCACTAGGGTGTGCCTCTGGTAAGATGAGGCCGTGACTTACAATAGAAAATTAATAAAAGAGAGCTATGTGAAAGAGAAACAGAAAGAGAAAATAAATGAGACGAGAAATGTGTAAGGAAAGAATTAAGAAAAAGAGTTACGGGGACAGACGAGTAGAGGATTTACTTACTGAGCATTATTTTTGTGCTCACCCCGTTGTTTTTCTTTGTGTTTACAAGATCTAGGTGAGGACGTGGTCGGATTGGCGTCGGCAAGCGAGGAGCAATAGCTACACTGTCCATTGTTTTTGATTACTTTTTGTAAAATGATATCTTATTTGGTAATAAGAATGTTTATATGTACTAAAAAAAAAATTTGGGCCCATCTACTTTTGTTGATATAAATGTATTTTACTTTATGTATTTCTATGAGTATCCTAGTATAAAGGAGTTATTACAGGGATCGAGCCTAATTCGGGGATTCCTTGAATTCCTGGTTCGGGCTTTAGGCCGGGACTGGGGAATCCCCTTGGGCTTTCGGGCCAGGGCCGAAGACAGGGGTCCCCAGCCCCAACCTAACTCGTGCCCATCCCTATGCCGACATCAACATTAACATTTATCCAAATAATATATGTATACGTAGAGGGTCTGAGACCCATTGATGTATATATGTAAAGACATTAACATTTATCTACAATAATTAATAATGCATATATGTATACATTGAGGGTTTGAGACCCATTGATGTCTCTCAAAGATTTTATATTAACAAGTACTAGATTATTTGAGACTGGGATGAGATGTGTAGTGGCGGACCATACCCACCTAAGCCTTGGAATTTTATTTTAGTTTATTTTATTTTTTTTGGGAAACTAATTTGTAATCCTAAGCTTAAAATAATTAGACTTGGGCTAGATTCAAAGTTCTAGTCCTACAAGATTTGGGATATATAACTAATGTCAGGGAAGTAATGTAACTAGGTTTAAGAATTTATAAAGATCACTTTGATACCAAATTGTGTATTATCATGTGCTCTTAAAAACCAATAAACATATTCTTATTTAAATAAAATATATTCACAATTTTAATAGCAGAGATTTTTTTGTAGTATAACTGAAAATATACAACACTGTAAACCCAAGTTGACTACACAATTGAAGTACATATACACATAGGAAGTAACTTATTCTCTTCACAGAGATGGACTCTGTCATTACACAAGTAGAAATTTATTTTATCACAGAGTTGAACTCAGTGTCATTATCATTTGTGCATGCTGGTGACATAAACCTTATTTAGTATTATATTTTTATCATACCAGCTTCCCATCGCCATTTCTAGTTTAACTTTACTTGTGTTGCTTCGATTGCCTTAAGTGTATACTTCAAACTGTGACACTCCAATGGTGAATTTGGATCAGTAGTGTTGAGAGTTAACACAATTCCCAATTTTGAGTAATTATTACCATGTGGAAGTTCAGGAACAGGGTCGCGAATATGTTTAACATGCAAGAGATGAAGATTCTTGAGTTTGTTGAAGACAGTCGTGAAGCCTGAGTTCCCAACTTTGGGATTTGCAAATGCAAAGGTTGTGACCATTGCTGTGGTGTTTGACCCTGGGGGCTTATTGTATTCATTGGCAACTATATCAGCTGCGTTTAATGTGGCAAGTGCTGAGCCCAAACTGTGGCCTGATACTGTAATACTAATTTCTTCGTTTTTGTATTGATCCATCAGTTCCCTGACAACTTTCAGAACCTACAGATATACCAACAATCAAATTTAAATATCAACTATTAGATTATGTTCAAAATTCAGTAAGAAAAACAAGTTTGAATCCAAGTGTTTTAAAAGATTACTGATTATTTGAGTCTCAAAAATACCTTCTCTCTGGCTAACTTATGGGTGTAGATGGAAAGAAACCCCTTGTGCACACGAGCATTCCCCGAGCACGACCCTAAAATTGGCGAAGCTGAGGTTTGCTCTGTTAAACAATCCAAAGAAAATAATAAAAAGAGGAGGCTAGGGTTTCATTAATATTGCACAATTCAATTGAATACAAAAAAAAGTATGATTTAACCTAAATACAAAGATATATATATAGGCTAAACAAAGGAAATAATGAAAAGACAAATCTACCCTTAATAAACAATAAAACAAAATAACCCATATTTCTTAACATGCTCAACCTGCAAATTATTTATCCACTCTGCCAGCGTCAAAGTTCCTCTCCAGCAAACCATAATGTCTCTTCTTCCTAACTTTTCTTTTCCTTCATCTGTGGCCACAGCCACATAACCAATCCAAACATCTCCGACCTTTTTAGTGAAATCGACATCCTTTGCATTTGTCCATAAATAGGTCTTCACAGTGTACAATCCCAGGCCAACCTTAGAGAAGAACTCTTCTTCTTTATATTTGGGATGCCCATACGTTGGAGAAAATTTATCATTATCAATGGTGTCATAAATAGCTTGAACTCTTTTACCATAATGGATTATAGTTTCGCTGAGATCTTTGTTGAGAGGTTTCAAGAGACTCTCCCAATTCTTCTCGCCACTACACTCCTTCCAGTTAGGCATCAATGTTTTTTAGCATCTCTCTTGTGAGGACAGTCTCTTCTTACTGCATGCTATTTATAGAAAATGCTGCAACAAAAATGTCAACTTCATTTTATAGTCCTTAAGTGCGTAGTATTTCTATTTATTTATATTTTAATCCGTAGATAAGGAATCTTTGGATAATTGGATACCACATGTCGAAAGTGAAATATGCTTATTAAAAGGATACATTCTTAAAAGGATAATTTTCATTATGGTTAATTTTCTCAAATAAAAATCATATATCTGATTCTCTATATATACTTAAAAGGATAATTTTAAGTTTATCTGATAAAGATGTTTGAATTTGCTAATTAAAATGAAGGCTAGAATCCTTTGTCACTCTCCACTAAACTATTTGTAGATACCACATAGTAAAGTCTTATTGTCGAAAGTGAAATATGCTTATTAAAAGGATATATTCTTAAAATGATAATTTTCATTCTGGTTAATTTTCTCAAATAAAAATCATATATCTGATTCTCTATATATACTTAAAAGGATAATTTTAAGTTTATCTGATAAAGATGCTTGAATTTGCTAATTAAAATGAAGGCTAGAATCCTTTGTCACTCTCCACTAAACTATTTGTAGATTCCACATTGTAAAGTCTTATTGTCGACTTATGAACTTTGTGTGCATATTTGTTCTTAAGCACAATTGTGAATTCTGTTATTGGTTTGCACATTTTGTTATATCATGTGAATTTGCACACATTCTTTGTTCACTTTGATTGTGAATGAACAGATTATGTGGACACATGTCTCTGATGTGCAAACATTCTGTTTCCCAATACAGGTGGCACTTTTCTTTATTGATTTTAATGTTTTATTTTATGCATGATATTTGCATTGCCTTGTACAGGTGTCACTCTTTCAAAAGAGTGATCCAAGGCTCCTCATTGAAAAGTGGCTTGTACAGTGGATGAAAGTTTTAATTCCTTTACCAAGTGAATTAAACTTAAGCGGAAAGGATTGCTAAGTTGATTTTTAAGAGTTCATTGGACATAAACATAAAACAATCAAAATGAACCAAAGTAAAACAACGACAAATTTTTACATAGTTTGGCAAAATGCATACATCCATAGGACCAAGTCTAGATGAAGTCAATTCACTATGGTAAACATTTATAGTTCAATTACAAAGTCAAATTTAAGCATCAAGTGCAAGAACACTTCCTATTTTGCAACTCTTCAAACTTCACCCTTTGGTCGAACTTCGAACTACCACAATAAGCTCCACGTTCACAAGACCACCTGGTCAGCCTTGAGCTCCTCTCAAGGATCAACATCGAAGACACACTTCAGCTCGAAAAGCTTGAACTCTCATCAAGCATCACCAATGGAAACCCACATTCCAACCATGAACAAATAAACAAAGTTTATCAAAGGTATTTGTAAGTCTACCTAAGGCATATGAAACCTGATTCAAAACAAAAGAAACCTCAAGGAATTTTCAGAGTAATATCAGAGGAATAATCAAGCTTAAGAAGAATTGCATTGGAGAAGACGAATATATAGAAAACTTGGGCTCCAATACAAGGGGATAGGTGGCCAAAAAGATACTTTATGAAAAAGTTTATTCGAGAATAAACTTTCTAGCACATTGTATGTCAATTTGACAAGTGTTATGGACCATGCAAATATCTCATAAGAGAATAATGACAGCTCATTATAATTTAGAAATATAATACTTGTTAACCAAAAAATCTGCCATATGCATTATGATCACTCTAACTCAGAGGTGCTCTCCCGATAAAGCAGATAAACAACATAATAGAAGGTGGTCATTTNTTGGATAATTAGATACCACATGTCGAAAGTGAAATATGCTTATTAAAAGGATATATTCTTAAAAGGATAATTTTCATTCTGGTTAATTTTATCAAATAAAAATCATGTATCTGATTCTCTATATATACTTAAAAGAATAATTTTAAGTTTATCCGATAAAGATGCTTGAATTTGCTAATTAAAATGAAGGCTAGAATCCTTTGTCACTCTCCACTAAACTATTTGTAGATACCACATTGTAAAGTCTTATTGTCGACTTGTGAACTTTGTGTGTGTATTTGTTCTCAAGCACAATTTCTCTTATAGATGAAGTTACCCACATGTGGGTTGACACGCAGCCTAGAGGGCAACTGGCATCCTTAAAGATGATGTACTCCACATGAAATTAACATATGTTTTTTGGAGAGGCGGCTAGCTTTCTTCCTCTTGAAGCCTCACATGATCTTGAAGAAAAGACCTTCCATGGGGTCGCACGTGTCTTGATGATTGGGCACCTTGGGAAACATGTGGCAACAACATAGCTTGCATGAATTTACCATCCAACAATTAAGCGCCAAAATGTTGATACAGTTTTTCGCACCAACGAGAGATACGCAAGCCTTCTAGGAAATATATGCAAAGGGTCTAGAAAGCATTGAGAAATAGCAAGTATGATGTTGAACCTATGGGTTCAATGAGATTCATGTGTGAAGTAAATGAAATGCGAAATAGTAAATGCGTAAAAATAAATAGAGAAAACAAGAGCGGTTTTTAAAGCGGTTCGGATATACAGGGCAATTCTACGTCTACTGTTATTTTATTGATGTGTTTATAAGAAGTATTTGCTCTAAGGAGACTATTGTTGTAATGCCTTTGTAAAAAGTAAGTTCCTGATCCTTGGTGTGGGGTGAGAACTCCCAATTTATAGTATTTTGAGGGTGATCTTCGGTGTGAAGTAATTCACAACCATCTAGACACGTGATATCGTACTGTTTTTCTTATAGATGAAGTTACCCACATGCGAGTTGACACGAAGTCTAGAGGGCAACTTGCATCCTTAAAGATGAAGTACTCCACATGATCCTTAAAGATGGAGTACTCCACTGCAAATTGACATGTGTTTTTTGGAGAGGCGGCTAGCTTTCTTCCTTTTGAAGCCTCACATGATCCTGAAGAAAATACCTTCCATTGGGTTGACACACGCCTTGATTACTGGGCACCTTAGGAGACATGTGGCGACAACATAGCTTGCATGAATTTACCACCCAACAATGAGAACTGAAAATAGAAAAAGAAGATAAGAAAGCAACAGGAGAAGCTGATTAAAAAGGATATATTCTTAAAAGGATAATTAATCCGTAGATAAGGAATCTTTGGATAATTGGATACCACATGTCGAAAGTGAAATATGCTTATTAAAAGGATATATTCGTAAAAGGATAATTTTCATTCTGGTTAATTTTATCAAATAAAAATCATATATCTGATTCTGTATATATACTCAAAAGGATAATTTTAAGTTTATCTGATAAAGATGCTTGAATTTGCTAATTAAAATGAAGGCTAGAATCCTTTGTCACTCACCACTAAACTATTTGTAGATACCACATAGTAAAGTCTTATTGTCGACTTATGAACTTTGTGACAAAATTAATTTTATCAAAAGCTATTTCATCACAAGTAATATAGGTATTATGACAAAATAAAAAAACATCACATTAAGTATGACAAAGGGAATATATAGTGACTAAAAAAAATTATTTTCATAATATTTTATCACAATAAAGAAATCCATAAGAAATATATTGAAGAAAAACAACTTTATCATAATATTTCATCACAAATTTTTGGTGCCAAATTTTGGCACCTAGGTAAATTGTTTATTGTGACAAACATATTTTGTCTTAAAACATTTTAGTCACTATATTTAATTATACATGCTATAACTACAAATTATTTTGTCACAAAAGAATTTATTTATTGTTACAAAAATAAATTATCATAATATATGCTGAAATTGAGGTATTAATGACAAAATGTTTGAGTCAAAATTTAAGCGCTGAGATAAATTGTTTATCATGACAAGCCATATTTGTCATCAAAAACTTTAGTCACTATATTTAGTAATACATGCTATAATTACAAACTAATTTGTCACAAAAAGAATTATTTATCATTACAAAATATATATGTATATATATGTTAAAATCGAGGTATTAATGACAAAATATTTGAGTCAAATTAAATGTGATATATTGTGACAAAAATTTGCTAAAAAAACATAATTAATATACGTACAACTATTTGTCATTCCTCTCAAGATTTTAGCAATAACATATATATCATTTAAAAAAAAATCATTAATAATTTTAGCATATAGGTCACTAAAAAAAAAAACTCATTAACACATAGGATCGGGTACAAGGTCATGGGCTAAGAAATTTAGTTAGGATCGAGGGGTGATGAGGGGCGGGTCGGGTTTTGCTATATCTAGCTAGATCAAATAAATCCGTTTTAAAACAAATTACCTACAAATTAGCGATGAAAAAAAAAATCTGTTTATAAAATCGTAGCAACAAATTTCAATCCATTGCAAATATTATGTACCATTTTCGGCTTTCATGATAAAAGAATACAAATCAAATTCAAACTGAATACAAATATTTACATTTTCGGCTTTAATATTATAGACTTAATATTTGGATCACATGTTAAATATTAATGTCTGTATTACACATTCACGTCCAATATGAAATTACAAAAATAAATTAATTCATCCATAGTATATTCCGAAATTAAAGACAAGAGGGTTTCTTCAATCAATTGCAAAATATTCATTACAATCAAATTGAAATAAAATACAAATTATACAATCAAGTTTACCCCCACCAAATGATAAGGAAGTACCCATACAATCAAATGTACAATATTAAAACTCACCATCATCCTCGTCGTCATCATCATCTTCGTCATCTTTGTTCTCACCATCATCATCTTGTTCGTCATTAGTATCATCGCAATAGTCAAGAATAGTATCATCTCCTCCATCAATAGAATCTTCTCCATCACTAGAATATTTTTCATTTGAATCATCCTTATCTCTAGAAACTCCATTATTGGAACCATCATAAGATTTATCAGTTTTATTTGTCTTCCGAACTGATTTCTTGTAGATGCAAAAAATCTACCGTCATGAAAATAGGATCTGATCCTATAAGGTTGAGGCCACTGACAATCTGTTGGACCTACACACATGAAAGGTCAAGCGTGAAGCTTCTAGAAAACACCGGGGTGGTGTTTGCCGTAGGCACTCCGACGTCCAAGTCAGCAAGGCTGAAAGAGATTGTTTAATAAGAATTAAGGAGAAGAAGAATAACCAGGAGTCTTATCAGAGGCTAGGACTACGGCGGAGGCGGAGGCGGAGGCGTCGGGTTCTTGGGAGCAAGAACTTTAGGAGCAAATAGATAGTTTTGAGTAGTGTAGATTGACTATAGGAGATTGCCTGCCTAATGAGAGGGCAAACCTCTGTTTTTATAGTGAATCCAAGGGGTTGAAATCCTAGTAGGACATTAAGTCCTCTTTTTTGGGAGATAATCCCTATCAAGAAAAAATATGATTTTTTGACCTTATCCGATCAAGTTTAATAGTTTAAATAAGATTTGGAATCATAGTAGGATACTAAGTCCTATTTTGGGAGATAATCCCTATCATGAAAGAGATATGATTTCTTGACCTTATCAGATTAAGTTTAATAGTTTGAGTAAGATTTGAAATCTTAGTAGAAGAGGAAATATAATAGGATTCTGATTTCCTATTTATAGATTGTTGCAGGCTAATAGGCTGAAACTCAGTTTAGCTTAACTTATAGGATGGCCTAACTCATAGAGTGGGTAGGTCGCAAGGTGATTTTAAGCGTAGGCCCAATCGAGATTGGGTTAAGGCCTTGGGCCGTGACATGTTTATTTCGTTATTGGGCCTTGTCAAGCCCAAGATGATTTTTGGCCCTAACAGTTAGCCCCCCACTCTTTAAGTTAAAGAGTATTTAGCTTAGAGAGTAGATTTAATCGAATGAGTGCAAACTGAGTGGATTAGTGATAGCAGCTCTTTAGGTCAGATAGATCGTTGTGTGGATTGGGTCGATGACTTGTCGATTTGAGGTATAAGAACCCTTCAACCGGTCTGGCCAACTGAATCTGTAGTTTTATGGACCGGGCAGGGTTGATCGAAGGTGTAAATCCGTGGATCGAGCAAGGTCGATCCGAAGGTGAAAATCCGTGGATCGATAGGGCTGATCCGATGGTGTAAATCTGTGGATCGAGCAGGGTCGATCCGAAGGTGTAAATTCGTGAATCGGGCAAGACCGATCCAAAGGTGTAGATCCGTGGATTGAGCAGGGTCAATCCGAAGGTATAAATCTGTGGATTGAGTAGGATCGATCCGAAGATGTAAATCCATGGATCGGGTAGGGCCGATCCGAAGGTGTAAATCCATGGATCGGGCAGGGCCAATCCGAAGGTGTAGATCCGTGGATGGAGCAAGGTCAATCCGAAGGTGTAAATCCATGGATCAAGCAGGGTCGATCCGAAGTAAATCCATGGATCGGGCAAGGCCGATCCGAAGGTGTAGATCCGTGGATTAAGCAAGGTCAATCCGAATGTGTAAATTCGTGGGTCAAGCAGGGTCGATCCGAAGATGTAAATCCCTAGATCGAGTAGGGTCGATCCGAAGGTGTAAATCCCTAGATTGGGTAAGGCCGATCTGAAGATATAAATCCGTGGATTGAGCAGGGTCGATCCGAAGGTGTAAATCCGTGGATCAGGCAGGGTCGATCCGAAGGTGTAGATCCGTGGATTGAGCAGGTTCAATCCAAAGATGTAAATCCGTGGATCGAGTAAGGTCGATTCGAAGGTGTAAATTCGTGGATCGGGCAAGGCCGATCCGAAGGTGTAGATCTGTGGATAGAGCAAGGTCAATCCGAAGGTGTAAATCCATAGATCGAGCAGGGTCGATCCAAATGTGTAAATTTGTGGATCGGGCAGGGCTGATCTGAAGATGTAGATTCGTGGATTGAGCAGGGTCAATTCGAAGGTGTAAATCCATGGATCGAGCAGGGTCAATCTGAAGGTGTAAATCCATGGATCGAGTAGGGTCAATCTGAAGGTGTAAATCTGTAGATGGAGTAGGGTCGATCCGAAGGTGTAAATCCATGGATCGGGTAGGGCCGATCTGAAGGTGTAGTTCCGTGGATTGAGTAGGGTCAATCCAAATGTGTAAATCCATGGATCGAGCAGGGTCGATCCGAAGGTGTAAATCCGTGGATCGGGTAGGGCCGATCCGAAGGTGTAAATCTGTAAATCCGTGGATTGAGCAGGGTCAATCGGAAGGTGTAAATCCATGGATCGAGTAGGGTCGATCCGAAGGTATAAATCCATGGATCGGGTAGGACCGATCCAAAGGTGTATATTCGTGGATTGAGCAAGACCGATCCAAAGGTGTAAATCCATGGATCGAGCAGAGCCGATCCGAAGGTGTAAATCCATGGATCGAGCAGGGTCGATCCGAAGGTGTAAATCCATAGATCGAGCAGGGTCGATCCGATGGTGTAAATCCATGGAAAGGGTAGGACCGATCCGAAGGTGTAGATCCGTAGATTGAGCAGGGTCTATCCGAAAGTGTATGCCAAGTGAAGCTTGTATGGAGCTTGCAGTCGAGTCGGCGTGATCGACTTGTAGTTGAAACCTTTTTTGGGCTATGTGGCCCAGTCGGCGTGACCGAGTTTGTAGTTGAAAACATTCGATTGAAGCTGGAGCAGTGGCATGCATGGCATGCATGTTTTAAGCAAATAGTCGAATTGAGAGTTAATATGCATGGTGTGCATGTGTTATGGACTGAATAAAGAGTGAGCTAAATGGAAAAATGGGCTGCATGTATTTAAGTAATGGGCCGAATAGAGAAAAATTTAACCAAATAGAGTGGTAGTTAAAAGGAGAATATGACACATACATTTCCCCTTCAAGTGCTGCCACCCATGCTTGTTGGACTGAGTGGAGAGAGGGGTGTTACTTTCTATGCCAAAGCTGAACCAATTGAAGTTGAGTGGGCACGTGATTCAATTTTGGGCTGATCCGAATGGGCACGTTGATATTGTATGTGCAAACCCAAATATCATTGAATGGACTACTCATGTTGTTTAGTGGTGTTGAGTTGTAGTGGGGAGTGGAAAGTTTGCAAATAACGAGGAGCATGAGGGCTTTTGTGACAGGTGTGCTGGAGATTGTGATGTGAAGGTGGTTTGAGTTGATATGTATTGGTTGGGAAGGGGCGATGATTCGAGTTTGGAGTCTTGGAATACGGTGGGGTAAGGAGATTAGGCAAGAGTTGGGTTTGGGGGGGGGGGCGTCACTTAAGCAGGTTTTGCTTAGGGAGTTTCTCTTCGTGTTTAGTAGATGACTTTAAGTGTTTTGAGAGGATTACTGCAGTGTTTTTAGGATTTTACTATGTGATTGGAGAATCTCTTAGGGCAATTTTAGGAGAATAGATGGATAGGTTTTGGGTTTCAAAGTGGTGTCAAATCTTCGTGAAGTTGAATTGGGATTGGATCAAGGCTGGTCGAGTTTGAGTTACCTTCCAATGGAGCGGAGGTCCTGGAGATGCTGGCGTATTGTGGCATCTTCTTGAATGAACAAATTAAATAGTTTTGTGGCGGGTAATGCATTGCAAAGCTCTGATGACGCTGGTGGACCACCTGGTGGTTTGATGATTGAAGTGAAAAGGTGCGTGCAGAGAGGTTAGAGACAGAAGCTATTGCCTTATCTAAACAGAGGATTAGAGAAGAGAGATTGTTAAAGCAAAGTCAATAAATCAAGTGGTTTAGGAACACCACTTTAAACTCTGACACATTATTATTCTATTATTAATTTAGAACAATAATATGAAGCTATTATTAATTTAGAACAATAATATGAGCTTCAAGGTCTTATACTACCCGTTGAATGGATATAATATAAAATAAATTACGATATGCCGAATAAATATAATATGGCATGTGAATAGATAAAACAAACGAAGAAAAATAAAGAAAAAAAAAATTCTTATCATGATGAGATTTTTTGATTAACATTGTTAGTCAAAAGGAGTTTTGTATCGCCTCCCATGTTGTAAGTCATCGTTGGCAAATGATTGTCAGGACCCCACAGTGGGCGCCAGACTGTAAATGTAAAAAATCTACCGTCATGAAAATATGGTCTGATCCCGTAAGGTTGAGACCACTGACAATCTGTTGGACCTACACACATGAAAGGTCAAGCGTGAAGCTTCTGGAAAACACCGGGGTGATATTTGTCGTAGGCACTCCGACACTCAAGTCAGCAAGGCTGAAAGAGATTATTTAATAAGAATTAAGGAGAAGAAGAATTACCAAGAGTCTTGTCGGAGGCTAGGACTACGGCGGAGGCGTCGGGTTCTTGGGAGCAAGAACTTTAGGAGTAAATAGATGGTTTTGAGTAGTGTAGATTAACTATGGGAGATTGCATGCCTAATGAGAGGGCAAACCTCTGTTTTTATAGTGAATCCAAGGGGTTGAAATCCCAGTAGGACATTGAGTCCTCTTTTTTGGGAGATAATCCCTATCAAGAAAAAATATGATTTCTTGACATTATCCGATCAAGTTTAATAGTTTAAATAAGATTTGGAATCATAGTAGGACACTAAGTCTTATTTTGGGAGATAATCCCTATCAAGAAAGAGATATAATTTCTTGACTTTATCAGATTAAGTTTAATATTTTAAATAAGATTTGAAATCTTAGTAGGATACTAAGTCCTATTTTGGGAGATAATCCCTATCATGAAAGAGATATGATTTCTTGACCTTATCAGATCAAGTTTAATAGTTTGAGTAAGATTTGAAATCTTAGTAGAAAAGGAAATAGAATAGGATTCTGATTTCCTATTTATAGACTGTTGCAGGCTAATAGGCTGAAACCTAGTTTAGCTTAACTTATAAGTTAATTTGGGGCAGAAATGTGGAAAATGAGAATTCTATTATTCCAACATGCAGAGGTCTGTTACATTGTTTGTTTATATACAAAAATAACACCAGCCGTCTAACTAATTTCTTTCTCTAACTGTCAACTAATTTCTTCTAACTCTTAACAAACTTACAGCTCAGCATAACTATTTCTAACTAACTAGTTTCTTCTCATATACATAACAACTTGATCTTTAACACCCCCCTCAAGTTGGCATCTTATGATATTTTTCAAGCATAACTTGGACAAAATTTTTTCATGTTGAAGCCTTCCCAGCCCTTTTGTCATTACTTCTGCCACTTGTTCTCCAGTTGGAGTATATTCTTGCAATGATCAAACCTCCTTGAATTTTCTCTCTATAAATGACAATCTATCTCTAGGTGTTTTGTTCTCCCATGATACATGGGATTTGCCGCAATCTGCAATGCTGACTATTATCACAGTAAGCAGTGCCGGTATTTTGGCTTCATTCATCAAGCTCTTTAAGCAAGCCTGTTACCAAACTATCTCTGCACAGCTACAGCCATGCTTCTATATTCTGCTTCTGTAATGATCTTGCCACAGTATTTTGTTTCTTTGATTTCCAGGACAGAAGAGAATCTCCCATCGTTGATGCAGTATCCTGATACTGATTTTCTCACTCACTGCGCAAGCTGCCCAATCTGAATCACAAAAGGAAATTAACTCTTTTGTACTCTTTGAGGACATGAACAACCCAAGTGCTGGTTCCTTTTTCACATATCTTATAACCCTTAATGCTGCTTCCATATGTGATTTTTTAGAGTCTGCATGTGCTGACTTAAAGTCTGGACAGCGAATGAATGTCTGGCCTGGTCATGGTTTATAGAACAGCCTTCCCACCATTCTCCTGAATATAGTAGGATCTGACAGCACTCATCCTTTTCCAACCGGTGGGAACTTTTGATCATACTCATAGGAAGTCAGTTTTAGAGTTTGTTCAGAGGAGTATCAGCAGTTTTGCAGCAGACAATCCAGCCTCCGAAATGAGTTTTCAGTGCATATTTTTCTCTGGTTTAAACAATTCCTTCAGAGGACCTAGCAACTTCAATTCAAGAAAGAATTTAGGTGACCATGGCTTTGATTTTGAAATTATCCTGCATATGAACTTCAATTGATCCATCATCCCGGTGCACTCCCTGTTATCAAGATGTCATCTACATAGACAAGCAGGATGACTATATTGCTTCCTTCTCGTTTGGTGAATAAAAGTAATCATATTTACTTTGTAAGTAACCATTTCAATCAAGGCTTCAGTGAGCTTGTGATTCCATTGTCTACTTGCTTGCTTCAATCCATACAAGGATTTGAGCAGTCTGCAAACTGTGTTTCTCCCCCCTGAGTGCCAATCCTTGAGGTAAAGACAGTAACTTCTTCATGAAGATCTCCTTGCAGAAGGCTTAAACACATCAAGTTGAAAGAGTGGCCAAGCATACTGAGCTAACGCAAGGACTGATCTGACAGTGACCATCTTTGCTACCGGGGAGAATGTTTTCGTGTAGTCGATACCAGCTTGTTGATTATAGCCCTTGGCCACAAGCCGAGCTTTGTATCTCTCTCCAAACTACCATCAGAATTATACTTGACTTTGTAAACCCACTTGCAGCCAATCGGCTGCTTTCCTGCAGGGAGTGGGAGTAAGTTGCCAGGTTTGATTGGCTTCTAATGCGTGATTTCAGTCTGCATGGCATCAATCCAATTAGATCCTGAGAAGCTTCACAAATGAACAGGTTCCTTGATCCGAGAGAATGAAGAAAGGAACACCTGTGAGATAAGAAAGATGATCATAGAAAGAACATCTGAATGGAGTATGAGCTGAAGGTGTAATGTAATCTGCAACCAAATTGGAGGTCTATGTGATCTGGCGATCGTCTGATGTTTACAGGATGGCAGAAGGAGTGCTGGAGCTGAATATGTTGGAGATGTGGGATTAATTGAGGAGTAGCAGGGACAAGATCATTATATAGATCAGAATGGCAGTATTGATAGGAGCAGGATAAGAATCATCAGAAAATATGGTGTTGAAAGGATCTTTTGAAAATATGGAGTATAATTTTCTGGTATTGAAATGGAAATATCTTCAATAAATTGGACATCTCGGTTGGACAAAGAAACTGAAATCTTGTAATTTCACAGCTTGTATCCCTTTTGGGTGGAAGAGTATCCCATAAAGACTGATGGGATGGCCTTGAAACCAATTTATCTCTTGAGCTTAGATTGGATGCGTATGCCAAGCAGCCAACACTTTGAAGTGATCAATTGAGAGGGAACCAAAAAGAACTTGATGAGGAGCTATGCTAAGCACATCAGTTGGAAGTCTATTGATGATATAGCAGGCTGTGAGTATACATTCTCCCCAATATTTGTTGGAATAGATGCCTGAAATCTCAAGGCTCTAGCAACACTAAGTAAGTGCCTATGCTTCCTCTCTACTACACCATTCTGCGGGGTATAAACGCAAGTTTTCTGGTGGATATCCCAAGGGAAGTAAAAGAGCTGAACAATGAGAGTTGAGAAACTCTAAGCCATTATCTGTTTGAACAGTTTTGACAGAGGCTGAAAATTGAGTCTTTGATAAGTGAAAGAAACTCTTAATATGAAGTATGACTTCATGCTTATTTGCCATGAGAAAACCCAGGTAACCCGAGAATGATCCATCAACCACTGTGAGAAGTATTTGTAATGATTATGTGTAGGAGTATGATATCGTCCCCATACATCCATATGCAATAATGAACATGTAGGAGCCCTTGTATTGCTAATGGAAAAGGTTTTCTCACATGTTGTTGGCAAGAGGACAATATCACAATGGTACTCATTATTACAGAATTAAAACTTCTTATTCCAGAAAAATATTTCATTTTCGTATATGGTATATGACCAAGTCGTTTTGCCAAAGCTGGTTTACAGAAGCTAAACAGGAAACATGTAGTGTTTATTCAAAGTATTCAAAGAGAAAATTGGCCTTGTATGCATGAAGAGGCATGAAAAGTAAGACCCTCTGATTCTTTACCAATCCCCAGGATTTTCCCATTGGAGAGGCCCTGAAATATGCAGAAGTCAGATAAAAACTGACAAAGCAAGATAAGTCTTTGGTGAGCTTTGAGATAGAAATCAAATTATATTGAAATCTGGCACAAATAACACATTATTCAATTTCTGATCTGGACCAATATTACAAGATCCAGTATGTGTTACGGTTGAATGATTTCCATTGGGAAGTCTGACTGTGGAAGGAGAATCTGTCCCCATCAACTTGTTCAAAGTGTTTAGAGAAGCTGTCATATGGTGACTGGCTCCTGTGTCTATATCCATAACTCCATGTTTAGAGGAAAAGTAAGAGTGAATACCTGCCATATTAACGTGTGCATCATTTGAGCTAATGCAGGTTCCTTTTGGAGCAATTTTAATATCTCTGCATACTGTTCTTTGGAAAATATGGAGGTGCTGCTGCTTGGTTATTATTTTGACTGTGATCAGGTATTCATTAGTGGCAACATTGTTTGCTGATGATGGAGCATGAGTCTTTTCATCTGGTGAACTTAAAATCGGCAGGATATCCAATGATCCTAACCAATTATCCTTTTTGTGTCCTTTCATATGGCAGTGTTCACAGGTTATATTCCAGTTCTTCTTGGGTTTGACTGATTGTTGGTTGGATGAAGAATAGAAACTGTAGGTTCAGAAAGAGGATTCTACAGCAACAACATGTATAAACTTCTCTGGCTTTCCTCAGTGACAAGCATAGAGTAAGCTTGGTTGATAGATGGTAAGGTTGCATCATGAGGATTTGGCTTCTAGCATGCAATAGTCTCATTTAATCCCATCAGGATGTAGCAACTTTTGATTCTGCATGTGATCTACGTAAACTTTTGACATGGAACATTCACAGGAAGGAAGCTGGACAATAGACAGTACTCATCCCATAGCATTCTTAGTTTAGAGTATAAGTGGAGATGGACGAAGTTCCCTGCATTAAGGTGACTTTTCTCTATGAATTGAAAAACTCTAGATCCATTCACTTTATCAAACCTTTCTTTCAATCTTTTCCATACTAGATGTGCACTAGATGCTAAACGATGCCACTTAAGAGTTCTTTAGTAACGGAATTCATGATCCAGAGAGAACTAAGCATGACATTTTATCCCATTGATTGTGCAAGCTAACTGGAAAGCTTTTCTTTGTATAAGTTCCATCAATAATCCAATCTTATTTTTAGCTACCAATGCAATTCTCATAGATCTACTCCATAATGATGTATTATCAATGCCACTTAATTGAAAAAAACGGAACGGCACCTGGAGTATCAAAGGATGAAGGTAAAGCTGATGACTAAAATCGATTGTTAGCTCGATTGATCTTTCCATTATTTGCGAAGATTGCGTCTCTCCATCTGCACTGACATTTGCCATTTTGGAAGAATGAAGATGATAGCTTCTTGATCAGAAGAATGAGATCAGATAATAGACAAATCCTGAGGACAATGATGAAACAGAAGAAACTGATGAATCAGTTAACGAAGCTGATGAACAGATGGAACTGATGAATCAGTGAAGCCGTGAATTCCGATGAACGAGTGAGTTGAGTGAAGTTTCTGTAATTTTAGAATTCTCAAACCGGAATTATGGCTCTGATACCATGTTAATTGGGGGCAAGAAATGTGAAAATGAGAATTCTATTATTCCAACATGCAGAGTTCTGTTACATTGTTTTGTTTATATACAAGAAAATACACACGCCGTCTAACTAATTTCTTCTAACTCTTAACAAACTTACAGCTCAGCATAACTAATTTCTAACTAACTAAGTTTTCTTCTATATACATAACAACTGATCTTTACAGCTACTGATCTCCCTTAAAACGGTTCCCACAAAAAGTAGGAATAAAGTTAAAAGTGAGAGTCCACAAATCACCAATATTAAATTTAAAGGACATGTTTCTACTTCATGATATTCTACCTACTTGGTATAGTTTTGTAGCAGTATATAGAAGGATGTTCGATCTTTAACTTATATTGAAACACAAATTTATAGCCATGGATTTATTGTGATTTATTGTAATCTAACAGATCTGAAATGGAAGTTGGAAGCAACTATCTCATTGTCACCTTAGTACCTCTTAGTACTCTTAGACTATTGGATTGTAATGGACCAACGTTGAAAATTTATGTCAACAATTTAAGTCACAATACCGAAATTGCATTTGAGGGAACCTAAGTAATCTTTGGCAACAACGTCCATTGTTTACTTATCATAACTTTTGTAGAAAATCTAGCTATATGATTTTAATTAACAATAAAAGGCTCATAAATAAATTAAATGAATCATACTATTTAGAATTAATAAGAATAAAAACAACTTGTGGCATAACTTTAGTTATCCTTTAAGAATATTGAGACGATTGAAATATTTTTTTAGAATAAAGGAATTTGGTTTCTGTTAACATACTACACAGAAAAGAATCAACCAAAAAATAGCACAGATCAAGAACAAGAATCACACCAATCACACACAAGACAACAGATTTACCGTGTTCACTTGCTCTATGGTTGAGCAAGCTACGTCCCTTGAACTCGAGATCACACAAGCTCGCTGCACTAATACTGTCAGATTACAGATTACACACACAAAGCAACCAAATCCCTCAAACCCTCTTCTTCAACCCGTAACTAACTCTAGAGATCACACACTTCGAATATCTAAATACAGCGTATACAATACACCCAGAATGACTTGACCAGTCACTCAACCCAAGTTACAGAAACACTCACCCCAACTGAAAAACCCTAAAGGCTCAACAATGGTGTTTAACGAAGAAGAAAGACTTGTAAAACGAAAATGAATCGAATGCATAACTGCCAAATAGTTCTGCTTTTATATGGTTGACATTAGGGTTGAATTTCACCGTTGGATCTTCTTTTCATCAACCTCAGGATTGTTTCGGTCATTTAGATCAAAGCGACGTCGTTCCACTTAAGTGCAAATACACATCGTTTCAAACCATCATCCAACAGTTTCGTATCTCCTATATAAGGCTGCATGCATTAGAAGGAGATTGAACCAGGTCCTCGATCATTCTCTGTGCTAATCTTACAAGGAATTGAAACTCTTCTTCATACTGCAACAATAGCAAGACAAACTGTAAAAATTGATGGAAGGAGAAGACTTCACACCGCAACACCAGAATTGAAACTGTCTTTTCTTTTTCTCTGCAGCTGGTGCTACAGGAATTGCTAGAATTATGTTGGAAAACAATCAAATCTGCTGACCGAGTATGACTGCTATGTTTACTCAAAGGAAATGACATAGGACGAAGTTGCTCTATTATGAATTTGTTTATATATGTGAAAGAATGGTCGCGGCGTTTTTTTATGAGCTTTCAACAAGCTATGGTTAACAAAATTTCGGTGAATTGTTTAGATATCGCGTTGAAATTGCTGAGGATCGTCCCAAGCTGGTTGTGGCTCGTGATTCGTGACAGTACTTATGTGATATTTTGGCCCAAAACCCCCTGCATTTGCAAGCACAAATCCAACTCAAGACCTTCAGCTTGTCAAACTTCTTTGGGAAGACATCTTAAAACGAGATGACTTGGAGGTTACACATCTATCAGAAGACCTTCACTCTGTTGTTGGATGCAGCTGAATTCGGAATTCTGAATGGGTATCTTAAAGTAGTGAACTAAATTATGAAAATAATGAAGCCTATTGCACTTTGCCTTTTTCGAGGCATCACGCCAATATATGCAGTCTATAATAATGGACTCCATTAAGAAATTGTTAGCGGCTTTTGAAAATAAGATCAGATATACCTATCAGGTGCAGCTCTGGAAATGCATCGTGATTCGAGAACAGTGTGTTTTAATGTAAAATTTATTATTCTTCTTTTTGTCTTCAATTAGAGAAAAGAAAATTTCGAAAGGCAAACAGCTGGGAATTGTTCACCGTGGTGCATAATGGTTACTGAAAAGCGTAGAATTGTGGATGAATAACACTGCTAAGACATGTATGATTGTTGAAACACGTACTCACAGCAAATATATGATGTTTGCTGCAGCCTTCAGTGTTAATGATAAAAGAATACTGATCCATTTACATGAGACTTTGTTTCAGTTTTTGCCATATCAGTTGCCTCTTTCTTTCTTCCATCTCATTCTGCTTTAGCAGAAGAGGGTTTTGTTATGTAGTTACTTTGCAAGTATGGGTTAGGACTTGAAGTTTAGAATATGACTATTGTGCTGTGAGTCTAAAAAACTGAACCCAGATAAACTAATCAACTCAACTGCCGATTTTTATTGAGCAGATGATTTCTGAACTCAAGATTAAAAGTACGAGAGCAGAGAATAGTTTGAAATGACATCCGTTAATCACTCTTTTTTGTTAATTTAAATCAACAGCTTCCTTGTTAATTTACATTTAATACTTTCTCTTAAGTAAGATCCTTTCACAAAATATTTAACTAGACAGACTTTTAGACTAGAACAATTAGAGCTAGTTCCATCTTCTTTTCTTTTTTTTTTTTTTTTTTTTTTTTTTTTTTTTTTTCATTTCTATTATTGTTAATCACATGCAATCAAAGTTCAGTAAGACATCTTCTAGTGAGTTTAGGTACAAGTCCTCGCAGTAGGACTCTGAAAAAAAATAAATCAAATGCATTTGAGCAATTAAAGAAGAAGAAGAAGAAGAAGCCTAACAGCTATTTTCCTCCAAAGTTTCGTTCTAAGACATAAGATTGTTATTGTTGGAGACAAGAAGTAGAGGAGTTATTGAGGCAATTCAGGTCTGGTCTTTGATCGAGTGCTTCTCTCGTTGATTCGGTCGGAAATGCATCTGGATAAGTAGCCAAGTTTCGCCTTCATGCCCCTGAGTGTTGAACAGAAATGAAACATAAATAAGATGTAGCATTAATCTGCATCAACGCCTGAACTACTGAAGATCCTTATCAGAAAATACAATTTATCTAAAATGAAATACAATAGAAAGACTCCATAAAAATGTAAACAATTTAACTTCATAATGAAGCAGCAAGTTCTTGATTGAAGCAAATACCATACAAACATTTAAGTTCATTTGGGTGTAGGGGAACGCTGGGATAGTTAAACATATTTATGCTTGACATAAGCTATCATCAAGCCTTTACAGAACCAAACAAGTTAAAAGGAAGTACGAAATCAAAAGGCCAGATAAGACACTCATCGAGAAGTACCTCAATGAAATTTAACAGAGCCTTATTTAAAATAAATAGATAGCAAGTTATGTACCGATGAATAAGCATGTTAATCCCCCAAAATCTACAATTTTTGCATACTATGTGTTCTTGACATGCTTTTAATCATAGACCCGGGGATCTAGAGTATA